CACTCACTCACTCACTCACTCACTCACTCACTCACTCACTCACTCACTCACTCACTCACTCACTCACTCACTCACTCACTCACTCAAAATCAGCACCCACTGACCCCTTCAGAAGGTCCATCTGTAAAACAGTAGAAATGATTGGCAGATCCAACAGACAAGTTACTCTGGGCAGATCCCGCTTCAATCTGTCTTTAAAACTTGCCTCAAAATTATATATTTTTTGACCATTCTTTCTCCAGGTCCTGCAGTTATTGGAAGAGCAGCAACTGCCCAGATTCTTGTGTACTGTCAGACAGGCTTTTCCACCTACCAGACTGGTGTAACCTCACCATACTGGATATGGCCTCCCCCAAGTTAGGTGATATGCCCTGCATGTTTTAGAGGTTTCCTTGCTCTTGCTGATTGAGATGATTGCAGTTCAACAAAAGCCTGCCWATCAGTAATCAATTGAAATCAGCTGTGTTGAAGCAGGGAAACATCTAAAACATGCAGAACAATGTGTGTCTTGAAGACCAGGGTTGAAAAACACTGGTCCAAACCAGGGCTGGGCAATCCTGGTCCTCAAGGGCCGTGGCCCTACATGTTTTACTTTTCCCCCCTGATCCATTACACCTGATTCAGACACTGAATTACCTCTTCCAAATTCTGCAGTATGGAGGACCGAAACTGACATAATTAGAAATAAAAGCAGAAATGTATAAATGGATCAATAAATAAATACACTTAAAATGAACCAATATAATTCAAAAAGGAAAACTTTATTTAAAATGTATATATTTTTAAAAACAGTAAAATGTAAATTATGTGCTAAAATATATAATTTGTTGGAACTAAGATGGAAAAATAAATATGATGGTCAATTTAATAAAAAAAAACCTGAGGTAAAGCTTTCCTTTTAAATTTAATTGTTGCATTCAAGTGTATTTATTTATTGGTCCATTTATATAGTTCTGCTTTTATTTCTAGTTGTCAGTTTCAGTTTTCTATACTGCAGAAGCCTGATAATCATCCATTTATTCAAATCCAGTGTGTTTGAGCAGAGACAGTGGACCAGGATTGCCCACACATGGTCTAAACCAGTGTTTCCCAAACCTAGAACTCAAGGCACACTGCCCTGCATGTTTTAGAGGTTTCTCTGCTCTCACACACCTGATTCAGAAGATTGCAGTTCAACAAAAGCCTGCAAATCAGTTACTAACTGAAATCAGCTGTGTTGAAGCAGAGAAACATCGAAAACATGCAGGACAGTGTACCTTGAAGACCAGGGTTGAAAAACACTGGTCTAAACGGTGATGTAAAGTCACCAGACACATCAGTAATCTCCTGCATCTGCATGATGGACCCCTCCTGAGGCAGATCTTTGGTTCAGTCTTTCTTCAATTTTTTTTCTCAATGAAGCTGTCAAATCTGTTCACATGTCAACTCACTGTAGTCTAAATGATCTTGAGGGCCAGTTGCAACTAATGGGTCAACTTTCTACCGTAGWAAATATAACTATTCTACAGATCTGTTTGTATCCAGGCCCAAATGGAGCCAAACCCTGGGCCCAGTACTGTGCCTGTACTGCCAGCACTGCCTTTCAAAACAGGCAGTTTAATTTGCAACAATCTGGATGCTCAACCTTTTAGTCAATAAATATTACTCAGATTATCACATTGCACATCTTGTAGGAGTTCACCTGTTTGAAAAACTGTTCAGATTCAAAGTGGGCCCTAAGACTTATGAAAATGTTTAAAATACTTATTGTGTTGCAAAATGTTCAGGCCTTAAAGTTTGCTGCTTCATTTGTTTGTTTATGTTTTAGGCTCTCTTTCAAAGATATACAATACATGAAGCAATAAATTATTTTTATTTATTTATTTACAAACCTTAGGTGCAGAACTTTGAGCGACTTCTTCGAGCGATCTATGCCCCACAAAATATTTACTGCGTCCACGTGGATAAAAAAGCAAAGCCCTCCGTAACCGCTGCCATCCAGGCCATTACTTCCTGTTTTCCCAACGTCTTCCTGGTCAGTCAGGCTGTGGAGGTGGTCTACGCCGGCTGGCCTCGTGTACAAGCTGACCTGAACTGTATGGCTGATCTATATTCTGCCAGTAAAAAGTGGAAATACTTCATCAACCTTTGTGGTCAGGACTTCCCCCTGAAAACCAACTTGGAAATGGTGAGAATGCTGCGTTCAATGAGGGGCAGTAACAGCTTGGAGTCAGAAACCGTACCTGCAGACAAGAAGTGGAGGATATCATATGTTCATGAAATAATCAATGGGGACGTTAAGGTACTTTTGAAAAGTACAGGTCCTTCTCAAAAAATTATCATATTGTGATAAAGTTCATTATTTTCTGTAATGTACTGATTAAATAGTAAACTTTCATATATTTTAAGATTCATTGCACACCAACTGAAGTAGTTCAAGCCTTTTGTTGTTTTAAAATTGATGATTTTGGCAAAAAAGTAAAGAAAAACCAAAAATCCCTATCTCAAAAAATTAGCACATCATATGAAAAGTTTCTCTAAATGACTTATTAACCTAATCGTCTGAATCAATGAATTAACTCTAAACACCTGTAAAAGATTCYTGAGGCTTTAAAAAACTCCCAGGCTTGTTCATTACTCAAAACCACAATCATGGGTAAGACTACTGACCTGACTGCTGTTCAGAAGGCCATCATTGACACCCTCAAGCCAGAGGGTAAGAAACAGAAAGACATTTCTGAATGAATAGGCTGTTCCCAGAGTGCTGTATCAAGGCACCTCAGTGTGAAGTCTGTGGGAAGGAAAAAGTGTGGCAGAAAACGCTGCACAATGAGAAGAGGTGACCGGACCCTGAGGAAGATTGTGGAGGGCCGATTCCAGACATTGGGGGACCTGCAGAAGCAGTGGACTGAGTCTGGAGTACAAACTTCCAGAGCTACCGTGCACAGGCATGTGCAGGAAATGGGCTACAGGCCTCGTTCCCCAGGTCAAGCCACTTTTGAACCAGAAACAGCAGCAGATGCGCCTGACCTGGGCTACAGAGAAGCAGCACTGGACTGTTGCTCAGTGGTCCAAAGAACTTTTTTCGGATGAAAGCAAATTTTGCACGTCATTCGGAAATCAAGGATCCAGAGTCTGGAGGAAGACTGGGGAGAAGGAAATGCCAAAATGCCTGAAGTCCAGTGTCAAGTACCCACAGTCAGTGATGGTCTGGGGTGCCATGTCACCTGCTGGTGTTGGTCCACTGTGTTTTATCAAGGGCAGGGTCAATACAGCTAGCTTTCTGATTTTGGAGCACTTCATGCTTCCATCTGCTGCCATTTACAGATTTCACTTTTCAGCACGACCTGGCACCTGCTCACAGTGCCAAAACCACTGGTAAATGGTTTACTGACCATGGTATTACTGTGCTCAATTGGCCTGCCAACTTTCCTGACCTGAACCCCAGAGAGAATCTGTAGGATATTGTGAAGAGAAAGTTGAGAGACACAAGACCCAACACTCTGGATGAGCTAAAGACACAAGACCCAACACTCTGGATGAGCTTAAGGCTGCTATCGAAGCATCCTGGGCCTCCATAACACCTCTGCACTGCCACAGGCTGATTGCCTCCATGACACGCCGCAGTGAAGCAGTCATTTCTGCAAAAGGATTCCCTACCAAGGATTGAGTGCATAACTGAACATAATTATTTGAAGGTTGACTTTTTTGTATTAAAAACACTTTTCTTTTATTGGTTGGATGAAATATGCTATTTTTTTGAGATAGGGATATTTGGTTTTTCTTTACTTTTTTGCCAAAATCATCAATTTTAAAACAATAAAAGGCTTGAACTACTTCAGTTGGTGTGCAATGAATCTAAAATGTATGAAAGTTTAATGTTTATCAGTACATTACAGAAAAAAAATAACTTTATCACAGTATGCTAATTTTTTGAGAAGGACCTGTATATTCATTACAACCATCTTGATAAAACTTTTGTTTTAAAACATTTTTTTACATGTGTCTTGAATGATTTCCCATTACAATAACTTTACATTTTGTTTCAGACGACAAAAACTTTGAAGAATCCAGCTCCATTTAACCTTCCCATTAAGTCAGGAGGTGCCTACATCGTGGTTTCTCGAGGATTTGTCCGCAGCGTGTTGGAAGACACCAGAATAGAAATGCTCATTAATTGGTTCAAAGACACCTACAGTCCTGACGAGTTTCTGTGGGCTACCATTCAACGTATCCCTGGTGTTCCTGGTTCTAAGTGGCCCAACCGTAAATACGACCAAACGGATATTAACGCTCTTGCACGGCTGGTGAAGTGGGAGAATCACGAAGGCTCACAGGATTCAGAGTCGGCAGTGTACCCAAAGTGTCAAGGAAACCATGTCAGAGCGGTCTGTGTATATGGAGCTGGTGACCTACAGTGGCTGCTTGAGCATCTCCATCTTTTTGCCAATAAGTTCGACACCGAGACCGATCCTGTTGCTATCTACTGCCTGGAGAAGTATCTCAGACACAAAGCGCTGGCCGAGGCAGTTGGGGAGAGTGTTTGATGCCAATCGTCCATGACTCTAAAACTGTTGTCTTTTGCTACATCACAAAAAACAATTAAATTGCACACAGTTAATACAAAGAAGGGCAGGAGAACAAGAAGAATACATCCAGAAGGAGACTGTTGCCCAGTTTTAAGCTGCATATGCTGGCGTAAGAAATACGTGTTTTAATATGGTATGTCCGAATAAACAGGATTCAGCTGGATTTCTTGTTAAAAACTTTATTTTCAGTCCTCTGACTCCAATCAGGTTCATTCAGCTCTCAGCAGCACAGGCCTCAGCGTACAACCTTGGGCCAAACCAAAACAAACACGGGAGCTCTGCTCTGAGCAGACGCTCTGCAAAAACACTGACAACTTCTTTCTACTATAATAATGAATTGAGCTTATAATGTACATCTCTTCATGGTTACACCCCAGAGGTGTTACCTTTTAYGTCAGACGTCAGAACGTCACTCAGTTTTGTTTAGGCTGTGGTGTACTGTGCCTTTAAGAATGTGAGCGCGCCTCCGAGCGTGAGCGCGCCCTTTGTGCAGAGTCCATTTTACCATCTCGCTGTGATGACATGTTCCCTTCTCTCTCGCTAATAAAACCTTGTCCAGAGCTGAGATAGCGTCATTTTTTAAGAGTTTTTTAACAGTCAACAAGTTTGCAGGAGGACGTCCTCTCTGGTTTTCCATCAACCCAGGAGAGCAGCACCAGACGGGGAGAGACGGAGGGAAACAGCCGCTGACAAGCCAAAACTGAACCGGGACGGACTCGACATAAAATGGCGTCACGAACCAGGCCTGTTCAGTCTTAAAGGGTAATATTGAATTAGCAGAGGTTTTTATGGCCGTAATTATCTCTGTTTTCTTTGATTTTATGCCTTAGAGACTCAGTGCGGTTCTTTTGAGGTTTGTCGGTGGTAACAGCGATGGGCTCCGTCTAATTTCTGGAGTTCTGTCTGTTTTGTTTTTGTGTATTCAAACCTTGCTAATTTATTCGTTTTTTTTTATGACGTGTCGCCCGCCGCAGAGTTAAGTGTGTGTTCTCTGGCGGTTTATGTGTAAAGTACGCGTACTGTTGACGTAAAAATGTTGAGATGCATCTCTCGTATTGTGTTTAGCCGCACCTCCGTGGCTTGTGGACCGGGTCGGCCACAGAGATGTCTGTGCCACCTGTTAGCTACTGGTAGGGCGTGGTTGTACGAGGCCGTTCAGCCTGATCCTTTGTTATCTCGCCCGGATAAAAGTACCCGGTTGCAGTATCTTTGAGGCCTAAGATCTGTTTAATTCCGATGAAATAGGCCGGGGAGGTAATGGAAGGATTGGGTGGTGGAAGCTTCGTCTAATTACTGGAAGTTTAAAGGGAGACATGTCATGTTTTTTTTTTTTTTTTTTTAAGTTCTGTTCAAGCAAGGGAGTGCAGGCCTGTGTGTTTGTCTGTCCTAAATGTGTGTTTCTGTGTGTGAACCATTTCCAGAGTCGAAGATAAGCATTCAACCACCATCTTATAAAGAAGTAAGAACCATTTATCCTCAGTTGCCCATCATTGATCAACAAGGACGTTACTCGGTGGAAGATGATCAGCAAAACGTGGTGGAAACAGGTGACTCTCGGACCACCATTGTGCTGACACCACACACTAAGAAGAAATCTAAATCTCAGAAACGTGCCATGACAACGTCTGACTCTTTTAGTGAAGAAGAAACAAAGAGAGGAGGTTATGGAGCAAAGATCAAAGAAATGTTGGGGAAACTTGAGGCACGAGGTAAAAGAAGTTTCAAGAAACGTGAAGACTCAAGCAGTTCAAGTGAGGAAAGTTCTGACAGTAGTGATGAGACAGCGGAAGATCAAGATTCTGATGCAGAGTCCTTTGAAGTCAGAAAGTCAAGAAAGATGTTGAAGGAGATTAAGAAAGTGAAAAGTAAGTGTCGCGAAGAAATTCAGAATGCTGTAACTGAAGAAGAACAACAACAATATTTGACAGAACAGTTGCAGAACTTGAAGATTAGAGAACAAGATTTAAAAGAACAAACAGTTCCAAGAAAAAGCAGTCGATACAATCTCAGAGAAAGAAAAGTGAAGAAGATGGCACCTGTGTTAGTC